CAGAGAGGAATTCCGGGCATCTTGCAGAAGCATCTGAAATCCTGTCCCAGCCATCACGCCTGTCATTACCTCCCTTTTACAGGCTGGTAAACAGAGGCACCAGCAGGTTGGGCAGAGGAGAGGCCATTCCAAGCTCAGAATGACTCCCCAAGACCCTTCAATTCCCACTGTCAGCACAAACTGCTCATCTCATGGTCTTGGGGTTCCCCACTATCTCTGTGAATTCCCTCCTCTAAGGTTCTGCAGACACTGGGATTTTTAGGTCCATGTTTCACTCGCTGGCCATGCAAAGAGTAGAGGAGACAGGTGCCACATGTGGCAAAGCCACAACCACCCAGGGGCTGTGGAGAGCAGAGGGACAGAGCTGGGGAGAGCTCTGGGAGAGGGGACACCGAAGGAGGAGCAGATGGGCAGCAAGAGGCCCAGGGCACTGTGAGCTCCTCAGCCTCCTGGCTGCGGGCACGGTCCTGCCTGACCCTGTGTGAGGGGCTGGGATTGCCCAGCATGTGGGGCTGTGCCAGGAGATGTTGTCTGAGCAGCCCCAGAGAGCCAGGCTGCACGTGCCCACGGTCCCACGGGCACTGAGGGTTCACGTGCAGGGCTGGGCTGGGGCTCAGTGCGGTGTCCCTGGGCACTGCCATGGCCCACAGGATGCCCAGGATTGTTCTGTGTCAGCAAAGGGAGGAATTAAGGACAAATCAGGGTTCATTGGTTTATTTAAGTTACCTTGTCTTTCGTTTGATGATGTGCCAGGATCTGTCCCTCCCATCACCTCCTTGCACTCCAGGACACATTTCCACACCAGTGTCCGCCACGAGGAGGCCTATAATTGTCACCTATCACTATATTTATCGAGAAGATTGTCAGCTTGAATTCCTAATTACCTGAAGTTTTTTGCCACCACTCCCTTTCCTGATGCCCCAGGCACTGTGGGACAGGTATAAAAGAGCCGAGCTCCTTGCAGACCTCTATCCACACTCCTCCACTCGACTCTCCTCAGCAACCGGGTAAGTCCAGCTCTCACAAACCTCTTGGGGAATCTCTCCTTTCTTCCCTCAGCACAACCCTTTCCTCACACCGTTTTGCTTTCTCCCTGCTCTCCAGAACTCCTTGCCTGTGGGAACCATGTCCTGCTCCAGCCTGTGTGTGCCCTCCTCCTGCGGGGTGGCCACCCCGGCCCCTCTGGCTGACACGTGCAACGAGCCCTGCGTGCGGCAGTGCCCCGACTCCACGGTGGTGATCCAGCCCCCGGCCTCAGTGGTCACCTTCCCCGGGCCCATCCTCAGCTCCTTCCCCCAGCAGAGCGCTGTGGGCTCAGCAGGAGTGCCCGGC